AAAGTCAGAAAAAACTCGAAAAAGTGAGGTTATGTTAAATAAAAAATCAAGTTTTTAAAACATTTTTGTTACACTGGACAAAATTATATTATAAATATAATTAAAATTAATTGTTTAATGATTTTTTTGCTTATTTGTTAATGTTACATTATTTTTACATGTCAAGTGGAATTCCTTAGAAAATGTGGATTCGTGTAATAAATTTTTATTTTTGAGGCCGAAAATTAATTTTATTAATATTATAATTTAGAATAATTAATTAATATTAAAATAGTATTATTTAGTGTCATAAATTGTAATTGATTTTTTGTTCTTTTATTACATTTTTAATAATTATTAATTCCAAAAATTAACAAAATGTTGAAAAATAAAAAGTACTGTTTAGTTTTAAAAATATTTTTTTAATTAGTATTTATATTAAGAAATTAATTAAAAATTTGTTGCACTTTTTTTATTTAAAAAAATAAAAAAATAATTTAATAATTAAAAAATATCAATATTAAAGAAAATCCTAAAAAATTTAATATAAATGAAAATTTATTCTTTAAATTTTAATTTGTTAAAAATAACTAATTTAATAGTAAAAAGTTAGTCACTGATTTAAATAATAATATTTTACTACTAAAATTGTTAATAATGGCGAATTATTATTTAAATTCACGTTTAGATTGTAAATAAAAAAATTTCATATTTGCAAAATAAAATTGTTAATTTGTAAATTCAAAATTTTTAAATTTGTAAAATAAAAGAAATTAAATTTTATAATAAGATTAAAGTAATTTTATTTTAATTTCATTTTATAATAAAATTAAAATAAAAGTAATTTAATTTTAATTCAATTTTATAATAAAATTAACTGAAAATTTTTCTAACTAATTAAATTTTCGTAATTTAACTATTTTTTTAGGTACTTATTTACTATTAAATAACTTTCTACTCATAATTAATTATTTTACACTAATTGCTGAAGCAAAAAATCAGTCATGATTTTACTAGTAATTAGTTATTTTCAACTAATTCAATTGATTATTTATTATTTGTGGATTTTTTTTTGTTAATAATTAAAATTATTATTAATTTCTTATTAAATTTGGTTTCAGCAATTTATGTTAATTTGTACTGAATTTAGTAATTAATCACTAATAATTAATTAAGAAATACAGACATAATTAGTTGATTATAATTATAAAACTAATTAATTAATTATATAAAAATTATTTAATAATGAATTATACATTTATTAAATAATAATAAATAATTTTTTTACAGCATTTCCCTTAATAATCACTATTTGATACGTATGATTTTCAAATCTCGCGCCGCGTCTGCCGCGTGCTTTCATGAAAAACGAAAAAGAGACACACCTACGAAACTAAACTCGTGATGTATCTTTGTGTTAGTAGAAGTTGGAAGGAGTAAGTTTGGCGCTATGGTGGGGGTGAATCGCGTAGGGTTTCTGGCATCACTGATGTAAAGTCCATGGCACTGGCCGCAACTGTTTCTGAAATTTTCGGGAACTCGTCAAGGAATCTTGGTGCGCAGAAACTGTGCGCACCAGTCTCAACGTCAGTAAGACTTGCGTGCCTTATATATTTATTTTATGCTGAGGTATTTAACGCTCCTGTTTAGCTCACATGGATAAGACGCCGGACTTCTATTCCTCGGGTACGCGAGTTCTGTTCCAGCCGCCGTCGATTTTTCTCTCATATGGTTTTTTCTATTTCAGAAACTTAATAAAAAATAAAAATTGTATGTGATCTTCAAGGATAAATGTGTGTGTGTGTGCGGACGTGTCAAGGAGGGGAAGTGGGAGGGGGGAAGCAGAATCCATTTTTTCTTGCATTCGCCTAACTTTTCGATTTTCTTGAACAGTTCCCGACTTTTTCAAGAACAGTTTGCCGAGAAGTGGTGAAATAGTTATAATTTGTAGAGAAATAGTAAATGACATATTTAAACGAGGCAACCTTTAGTTCTCTGTGAACTACCCGCCGTATCCAAGAGTTAAGAACGAAGTTCCCGAATAATCTTCGAACTTTTTTTTTCTGTGTACCATTTCTCTGGGTGTATATATACAACATATTTATACATAACATAATGAGGTATTATAGTCATTTTGACTAATTTAAAAGTGAAAATGATAAAAATAATATAATTTCAAGAATAGAAAAACTTAAAAATTTTTGAAAAATATAATTTTTGGTTTTAAGATTAATTCATTTTTCTTTTGGAGGTTGTCGCTCCTTTCTGCCTCCTTAATTTTATAATATTAATAAAGGTTATAATTTTTGATTTCAAATGTATAAGTAATAATTAATATTTATTTAATAAATATTTTATTCAAATTTATTAATTATGTTTAAAAAATAGTTATTACATATTGAAGGTGTTAAATTTAACAATCTTTCCGAATCATTTTCTCACGTTAAGCTAATATAATATAAAATAATTATTATTATTAAAATAATATATATATATATATATATATATATATATATATACAAACCAAATGATAAATTCATCCTATAAATTAACAATTATTAAAATTCATTAAGTATAATTTATTAATAATTGTTTATTTATTATTATTTTTTAAATTCATAATTTTTATTTTTAAATAAATGTATAATAATTAATTATTTAATAACTATTATTATTCGTTATTTATAATTTAGTTGTTATTATTAATAAATAAACTTTATTATAATATTGTACTTAAAGAAAAAAAAATTATATGTATTTTCGTTTTTTAAATATATTACCATAATTATTTTATAAAGTGTTTTAAAAGAACACGCTTTTTTAACTTAAATAACTGTTTTAAAAAAGTTAATTTTAAAAAATTAAATTTATTTACATGCTTTTAAAACGAGGAAAACTGTCGAGGCCCTGATCAGAGCCCTATTTCATATCTAGTGAACACCCCACTTAGGGTTTTGGCCAGAATTTCTGGTCAAACCCATTAGATAAAAAAATTCTTAAAAATGTAGTATAATTAATCCGTTTAATTAATTTCTTCAATTGTTTATAATTTTATTATGGGAACTAATTTAAAAAACTTAATTCATTTACACTTTATTCAAACGTGGAAAACTGTCGAGGCCCTGATCAGAGCCCTATTTAATATCTAGTGAACACCTCACTTGGGGTTTTGCCCAGAAATTCTGGTCAAACCCACAAAATAAAAAAATTATTCAAAACGATAGTATAATTACTCCCTTTAATTGTATTCTTCAATTGTTCATTATTTTTTATTAAAAGTAATTTTAGAGATTTAATTTTTTACACTTTATTTAAACAAGGAAAACTGTCGAGGCCCTGATCAGTACCCTATCTAAAATCTAATGAACACCCTACCTGGGGTTCTGGCTAGGAATTCTAGTCAAACCCCTAAAATAAAAAAATTATTAAATAACTAAAATAATTATTGCCTTTCATTGTTAATAGCTTCTACAACAAAAAGGAATTCTAAAAACTTTATTAAAAAAAAAAATTTTAATAGGGAAAACTGTCGAGGCCCCAACCAGAACCCTGTTTTAAATAGGGCAAAGTGGGGCATTTTCTGCACGGGAACTGACAGCGCGTCCACACAATGTTCATGCTTTTACAATTTACTGTTCAAAATTGTCTACAGACTACAATTTTTAACCGATTTAAGTGTTCTTTGTTTTAAATTAAAGGGGAATAAATTCTTAAGACATCCCTCGAGGCTGATTTTTCAGTTTTTAATTGTTTATAATTTTTTGTTTAATCAAAGTTAACAAATTAATACAAAAAAAATGTAATTACTTCTTTCCTAATTGCGGCTCACGAAATTTGGAAACGGATATTGAATCTTTATAAAATTCTCTTTCCAATAGAATCTGAACGAACTTTCTAAAACGTTGAGAACATTGTTTATTTTGCAATTAAACAATTAATTTTGCAATAACAATTAGTACCTATTTTTTAACAATAAGTTTTTTTTATTTTTTCAAATAATTCTATAATATTTAAGGTTTTTAAAAATGCAACGTTTATTAAAATCGATTGATTCTATCACGAGATATGAATTTTTTAATTAAGCATTGTAAAAAACTTTAAGTGTTTATAACTCAGAGAAATTTTAATTTAAAAAAAAATCGTTTAAACTGTTTAATAAACTCTTAATAAAGCTTACATTTTATATTGTGTTTTCAATGGAATTCAGTAAATTTGAAATTTGCTGGTACACTTTACGTATTTTGACTCAGATATTTAAAACTTTATGAAATTAATATTAAAATTCATTATAAGTTTTTGGGTCTATTAATTATTTATAGATTATAACCAAGAAGACTAGAGACAGGAGGTAAAACTTCGGTAGTGGGGGTATGTCAATGCTGAGTCGCTCAGCTGATGTATGGTCAGGCGTTTACTTTTAAAAAATTTTTGCCGCAATAGACCACATGGACTTCTGCGCATCTAAACACGTAAACACGGGAAAATATATTCTACACAAATACAATATGAAATATAAGTGTTTATATTTACAAACATCTTTTAGTTATTAAAAAAAAAAGTTTTGAAAACAAAAAAATGTGTAAACTGTAGCATGAAGTGCATTAAAAGTTAACAAAAAGTAATAGTCATATAGTGATGTGTTTATCTTTCTTCTTGTTACAACTTTTCAAACAGCACGTTTTCGGAATTTTTAACTATTTTAATAACACTTAATTTAATAATCACTCACATTATTTCTATATATCCGTTATGACACACATTGTCAATTGTGTCTCGATTGCACTGATTGCACTTTAAAGTTAACCTCAAATTAAAATCATATCATACACATATGTAAAACATATGGTATACAAGAATTTGAATGTGTGAGTGATGTGCAGAAGCACCGCGCCGGCGACTTTTCGAAACGAAAAACGCCTGGTTAATGAAAGGCTCTTGACTCATCCTCACTACCGAAGTTTCACCACCTGTCTCTAGCCTTCTTGATTATAACTTAAGTATATTCGTATTTGTTTCTTTAGGTAAAAAGGAAACTTTTTCTGCCCGGCGCTCAATGATATCACCAGATTAAAAAACATCTTAACAAATCGCGGCCAGGCTAGTGAGTACCAATACATAAATTTTACTGTATTCCACATACTTTCGACATCAGTTCACATTTGTCTGTTGAAATTAGTAACTGTTAAATTTCATTTTTAAATTTTGAATGTATATAATCAGTTTATTTATAAAATGACGTCCCAGTTTGTAATTTCTGGAAAAAAATTGCACATTGACGGATTTATATATATAATATAAATCGAAATCTTGTAAAAACCGTACATATTGGGTGTGTCAATTAGTGAAGTTAGAAAAATCATGCAAATAAACATTCTTCTCGATTATGAAGAATATATGAATCGACAGTTAAATTACACTGGTCGACAAAATTAATATTTTTTTTTGTTACAAGAATAAACGATTGTGATTCTTACAGAATTTTTGCTGTAGATTACGAATCTGAAAGTGAAATTATCCCATCACGTCTCAATTTTGAGAAAAACCGGGTCAAAGTGTAAAAAAATGGCATTTTTGTTACTACTTGACGCACTTTAAAAAATAACGCGACGTGATAACAAGCTCAAATATAGCTTAAATGAGAGCTCGAACCCTCTACTTTAACATCCAAAAGCGAAAAACCATATAGAAATAACTCAAAATTGTAAGGAACAACTTTTTACCAATTTGTCTTATATGATTGCGGAAACAATATCTGTTGGGCACGCACGCGATAAAAAGTTGTTCCCCTCATTTCTGAGTTATTTCTACATGATTTTTCGCTTCTTGATGTTAAAGTTAAGGGTTAGAACTCTCATATAAGCCGTATTTGAGCGTCGCGTTCTTTTTTTAAAGTGCTTCAAAAAGTACTAAAAATGTAATTTTTTGACACTTTGACTCCGTTTTTCTCATAATTGATACGTGATAAGAAAATTTCACTTACAGATTCGTAATTTACTGCAAAAATCCTATAAGAATCACTACCCATGTAGAAGGATTTTCGGAAGTGACTTCCGGAATTTTTCAATCATATCTCGTAAATAAAAGGAGATACAAGAAAAACTTAAATACGGTTAGAAAGCTGATTAAATTTTGCATAAAATAAGCCGTCTTTAAAGTCATTTCGTTAACTTTTTTTTAAGTTGTCGAGTGAGAAAGAAATAAAAAAAATTATCAAATTTTCTCATTTTTATCTCTTGAATTCAACTTTTTCAAAAATCTAAAAAAATTTAGATAAAATTTTTCTAAAAACACAGAAATCTTCGTTAGAATTTCAGCTTTAAAATAAGCCTTTGTAAATTAAAAAAGGTTAATCCGTTTTCGATATATTATTAAAAATTTAAAGACGTGTTTCGACGATTGCTGCATTGGATTTAACTGTGACGATTCGATTCTAGCTTCGCGCGGCTGCGAATGGGAGAGAAAACAGGGACTGATTTATGCTGGGGAATAATAAATAATGATGTTTCATGAGCAATATAAAGAAACTCAAAAGTTCATCGTTCCCCTGCATGAATTCGTCCCTGCTTTCTCTCTCATTCGCTGCCGCGCGAAGCCAGAATCGAGTCGTGACAGTTGAATTTTAATGCACCAATCGGTCGCAACACAGCTTCACATTTTTAATGATATATCGAAGACGGATTAGCCCTTTTTAATTTTCGAAGACTTATTTTAATGCTGAAATTCTAACGAAGATTTCTGTGTTTTTAGAATAATTTTATCTAAATTTTTTTAGATTTTTGAGAAAGTTGAATTCAAGAGATAAAAATGAGAAAATTTGATAATTTTTTTATTTCTTTCTCACTCTACAACTCAAAAAAAGTTAACAAAATAACTTCAAAGATAGCTCATTTGACGCAAAATTTAATCAGCTTTCTAACCGTATTTAGGTTTCTTTTGTATCTCTTTTTATTTACGAAATATGATTGAAAAATTGATAGCATGTTTTTTCATAGAGTCGTGTGTAATCGTCCTGATACTCGTGGACGGTAGTGTAATTAAGTTTTCAATGTTGAAGTGATGAGACAACTTTTATTTGAAAACAATTACATTTATTTACCTAAAAAAATACAAAAATGTGTTAGGAAAATTTAAAAGATCATCGGAAATTTTTTATATTACGTTAGTATTTATTTAATTTATTATTACCACTTTTTCGTAATTAATTATTGATAAACATAACAAAATAAGGTTATTTGAGAAACAAAATTTTAAAACATGTATTTTAAATATTATTTTAATTTTTTCCACAGTCTAATTAATGAATAATGATTTATACTTTTATTAATAATTTTATTTTTTTTAATTTAATTTCTACTAGATAGAAAAAAGACATCTTTCGTATTATAAAATTTGTTTTTTTAATTCCGTGAATCACTCACGAAAACTTTTTCACAAGGGATAACTAAGAAATAAAGTAATATTTCGTGGATTTTCCGCGAATAGAGCAGGATTTGGTTTATAAAATTAAAAAGAGTTTTTTTTCGTTATGATCATTATCAATAATTTTTTTTTTGAAAATAAAGGGACCAGAAATTAAAATCCATGGCGGATCGGAGAATATGTTAAGTTTTTAACGTATGAAGTTCTATCGATAATTTATGAAAATTATACAGTTATTTATAAAAATTGTTGCTGTAATTTATAAAAATATTAATAGTGTGAATTTTAATGAAAAATAATTACATCGGTAAATTATGCAAATTTTCAGGAAGAATATATGCAGTAATTTATAGAATTTTTCGCAATAATTCTGAAAAATATATTCCACATAAAATACAATTAAAAATTTTTATTCTGTCAATTTATTGAAATTTTCGCGGTAATTTATGTAAAGGGTATACCGGAATAAAATAAAAAATCTGCCTTTGCTCCAAAAAAGTTTAAATTATTAGTAAAAGTTGGTACTAACAAGATGAAAATTCCCACCAAATATTTTTTGAAAAAATTTATTTTTAGAGGAGTTATGGAGGGGGAAAGCAAAATCAAAAATTTTTTTGGAACGTGACAAAAATATCTCTAAAAGTCTCTATTTTAACATAATTTTTCTAGATTTTTAAATTTGGTGGAACATATTGAAAAAAATGGAAAACCATCTGCATACTTTGGCTTAAGAAATAAAATAGTTTTTCAAACCATTCCATAAAACTCAATTTTCGTAATCTTAAGATGAATTATAAAAAAAATTCTACAAATTATTGCCTAAAATAACCCGGAAAAAAAATTTTTTGAAATTTTTTTAAAAGAGTTATTGCACAGGTACCATTTTTGAAATGTGACAAAATATCTCTAAAAGTGTGTGCTTTAAGAAATAATTTTTTTAGATTTTTAAATTAAGTGGGTGTGAAGTTGAAATTGGTTACTTTGGGGTAATTGAAAAATTTTGTCTTAGTTGTTTGTACAATAAGATGTTTTAAACATGCCTAAGGTAGTGAAAGTTATTGCTTTGAGAATGGTTTACATTATTCTAGTGTTGGGGCATTTTACGTCAAAAATATCACAATTTGCAAAAGATAGGCCGATTTTCGCAAAACTTCGTGGGATAATAGTTGTATATAAGAGACTTCTTTCTCCTAAATTTTTTTTTTAAAAATTCAAAATTGTTCAAAATACGCCATTTTGAATTTTAATAATTTTATAAAATTTTGAATATTTTGGAATATTGTAAATGTTTTTTAATGAAATTTACACTTTTTTTAGGTAAAAATATCTAATTTAAACTGAAAATAAAATTAATAAAAAAAATTCCATTTAAAAAAATATAAGAATTTTTTTAAAAGTAATTTTGTTTATTTACTCCTCTCTATGAGAAATTTAATTAACATATTTTTATTCCTTATGAATTCATCTTTAATTTTAAAAAAATTTGATAAAGACTCAACTGTGTTCGGAGATATTGAAGTTTTTGTAAAAAAAGTATAGTTGCAGCATCACTGCACTACGCAAATTGTGATGGTAGCTCTGTAAAAACAATTTTAAAAAAATTATCAAAATTTCAAAAAAAAATTTCCCGGGATTTTTTGGACAAAAATTTTTGGAGTATTGTTTTCATAATTCATGTTATGATTAGGGGAGAGTCTCCAGTTGTGAGACGAGTTTTATTTTTGACCCGTAAATTGTAAACAGGTAAACGAAATTGTAAATAAAATACACCGTTCGAAAGGTACCTAACAGAAATACGCAACTTTTATTAAAAGAAAGTGTAGTGTTTCGATGAACTCAAAAAATTTTACGATACATTTTCCGAGCACATCGCTTTTTTCAAAAAAAAATGTCTCCAGTTGTGAGACACTCATTAAAAATTGCTAAAATTTAATAAGTTTGACATAAAACGTTATGTTTAGTAGAAATAATTAAATATATTAATAATATATATTATTATATACTAGAGTTGTGCAAAAAGCTCGATCGAGTATTTTAAGCTTTTCGTTTTTCTAGCAGAGCTGAGCAGAATCAATCCGAACTTGAACCAAATTCCACCCGACACGTGCAGTATTAAACCTAAAATAATTTTGAGCAATTGAATTTTTCGAGCACTCAAATATTTTTGAGTAACTAAAACTCGAGCCTGACTCGAGTATCGAGCCCGGCTCGAGCTCGACCATGCTATTCGAGCTTTTTGCACACCTCTATTATATACTAAATAATAATATTTATTCGCCAAAATATGACTATCAAATAAACACAATTTAATAGCTTCAACAAGAGCATTAAAATTGATTTCTTCTGAATCAATTAACTTTTTTCCACTTGACATGCCCAAAAATACTAGAAAAAAAATCAAAACAACATTTAAATAGTATCCCTGCAAAGTCGTATTTTTTATGTTGCCCAGATGGGTGTTGACACCGTCTCACAACTGGTGATATGCTGTGTCTCACACACAGAAATTGGCGCTATTTTGAAAAAGGAAAATTAAATCATTTTCAACCGTCGATTGGAACAATGCAATATTGCATAACAAAATATAAGGAAAACACTAAAAGAAAATGCATTACATTTACCTTTTCCAATTAATTAACTTGGAAAAAAAGTACTTTGCATTTATTGAAAAAACGCTTTTTAGTCGATTATCACACACAGTGTTGGTATTTAACAAAAACAGTTTATATATCCGCTTCGGCGTACACGAAAAAGTTGACTTATATAAAAAGATATGTTTTTATATAAACCAATCGGCTTTATAATATTGCATGTTAAAAAAAAATTGACTGTCTCACAACTGGAGGTGTCTCACAACTGGAGACTCTCCCCTATAAAGATGAGGTTTTATGAAATGGTTTAAAAAAACTATTTTATTTCTTAAGCCAAAGTACGCAGATGCAAGAATGACGTTACGCTCTCGGTTTTCCATTTTTTCAATATGTTCCACCAAATTTAAAAATCTAGAAAAATTATATGTTAAAGTAGATACTTTCAGACATATTTTTGTCACGTTCCAAAAATAGTACCCTTTATAAAAATTTTCACTATAATTTATAAAAATTTGTAAAGTAAGCAAATAAAGGAAGGGTGGCATGAATTTATTCAATTCGTTAATTCAATATTAAAAAACTAATTTTTCAGTTTTTCTTTAAACTGCATATTTAACAATTACACTTTAAAAGAAAATATGCGCATTTCACATTACTCCAAAATGGTCCACTTTTACTTATTTTCCTCACTAATAATATGTAGGTTTATCTTCATAAATTGTATTTTCACTGGTAATACAAAATAATATTTTGAAACAGTTTTTTTTAGATTTTTCTTAAATAACCAGGAAAATTTTAAAATGTTATTTTCGTTATGCAAAATTATAAAATTGGCGTTTAACCCCTTTTGTCATGTCACCCTTCGTTTATATGCTTTACAAATTTTTATAAATTTTATAGTGAAAATTATCGATAGAACTTTTTACGTTAAAAACTAAATATATTTTCCGACCCGCCACGGATTTTAATTTCTGGACCCTTTATTTTCAAAAAAAAATTATTGATAATGATCATATCGAAAAAAAAACTCTTTTTAATTTTATAAACCAAATCCTGCTCTATACGCGGAAAATCCACCAAATATTACTTTATTTCTTAGCTATCCCTTAAGAAAAACTTCTCGTGAGTGATTCACGGAATTAAAAAAACAAATTTTCTGATACGAACGATGTCTTTTTTTGTCTAGTTAAAATTAAATTAAAAAACATAGAATTATTAATAAAAGAATAAATCATTATTCATTAATTAGACTGTGGAAAATAAAAATAATACTTAAGATACATGTTTTAAAATTCTGTTTCTCAAATAAACTTATTTTGTTATTTTTATTAATTAATTACCACAAATCCTTCCACATGGGTATCGTTTATTCTTGTAGCAATATTTTGTCAAACAGTGTTATTTGTGAGCTCTAGTTCACACAATTTTTTTGCAATGCCATATTTTAATAAAAAAAATTTTCAGTATTATTAACCTTTGGAAAATTTGACTCAGAATTTTTTCTCTCGGAAAAGTGTCTGGGAATCCAAAAGAATTGTATTTCCATTCCGGTGAACCCTAGAAACTCGTTATCTAGAGTAATTTTGAGTTTATAGCTCGAACAAAATATTATTCCCGAATATTGTTAATATCTATCATCAATCAATGTGACTTCCACGAGAAAACGTGACTTAGCTCTAAAAAATAAATTTTCAGATTTTGATGCTAATCGATTATTGGGAGCTAAGACACGTTTTTTCGTGGACAGTCACATATGTATTGTAGACAGTGACTGATCCAATGGGGTTCATGATCACCCTGCAGGTCTTTGATTAAGAAAAACTAAAAACTTGTAATGTCAATTTTTATTAATACCAATAATACGAGCAAAATTGAACCCCTTGATGCAAGAACCAGACACAGCCTATTTAATTCCAATGGTCTATGTCTGGTTTTTGCATCAAGGGGTTCAATTATCGAAAAAACCTGTCCACAACAACTCAAAAGTCAGCACCTTAAAATTATCTGTATTTTACATTAGTCTGCCGTTTCAAAATCCTTATGTTTTTAGGTAAACTGCCATCGAGAGAGAGATAGAGAGAGAAAAGAGACATTGCAAGGTTTCAGAGTTTTCTCTTCTGCTACGCCCCTGGATGGCTCACCTCGTGTTAATTTCCAGGAGACAGAAACCTCACATTGAATTTCTAACTGGTGAAATTGATCAGTGACGAACAACTCCAGGAGGGAAACGTCATAAAATAACACCGAAGGTCCTAGAGAGGAGACTAATTGTGTCTAGTCTTCGATCATATAAAATGCGAGAAGTCACGTCGGAAGTACCTTGATGAGCCGGCACTAATTCAGCAGACGACAGAACCACGTGGCGATGACTGACCGGAGAAAGGAAAAGTAGGGAAGAAGACACAAGGTTTGTATTCCGATTGTTTAACTTTGCCGACTATTGTGTAAAATTAATGACAGAGTGAAGGAAATCAAATTAGTTTACTTCAGTTAAATTCTGGCTAGTGCTGTTTCTTTTCTATTCGTTTATGGAGTATAACTTTGATTACTAATTTCATATATTTGTTAGATTTTCTTGACTCTTTGAAGTATTGAGATCATTCAGAGAGACATATCTCACCGTGTATCATCCATTAGGTAAAATAATCTAAAATTTTCCTAAAATTCCCCCTTTTTACAACCACTTCTACCAAAAATAGTGTAAAATTAAAATTAACCCTGTTATTGTTTCCCGTGATGACTTCTGAATTGGAGTAAGAACAAATCCTTTTTCTACATTTCATTTTTTAACTGTTAATTTCGAGAGTTTCCCCTAAAAATTACATTGTATATTTACTTAATTGTCCCTAGTTTGTATAAAATAGATATTTAGATATTATAAAATAGATATTATCTTTCTCTTTTAATTGAAGAACCCCTCCCACTATCCCTGTTTACAGCCAAGGAAATTATTTGACTGTTGGGGAATTAACTTGGTAGTTTCATTTCAACCAAAGTCGAATCATTTGCCTTCCTATTGATCTAAGAAAGATCTGTCAGTTTGATAATAAATAAGTGTGGAAACTTCAGAGCTCTATTAAAATTTCGCATCGAATCTGGTAACAAACCGTTGCAATATCAATTAGAAACCGCCGAGAACAATGACACTTACATCAGTGAAACTGTTCAAAATGAATTGATCAGCATATGTAAGGATATTATATAGGAAAAAATTCTAAATAATTTGAAAAAAGATAAATCTTTTTCCATTATATTCAATGAAATAACAAATACGATAAATAAAACAGCAAGATGCTAAAAAGCGAACCAGAGCGTAGATTCAGATTTGCTTCGAAGTCGTTACTCGGAGGTTTTCGGGGTCGCTGATTAAGGATCTGACATTCAATTTTTAATTAGTGACCCCTAAATATTTCTAGTAATTGATTTCAAGCATATTGTGTTTATTGTATGTCCGGTACTGAACAGTGTTCGATCTTTGAATGTATGCTATTATTATCTCGTGGTTCAGGATCTCTTCATGTGGGCGGTGGACAACGGAACCATACTGGCAAAGCCCCTGGGTAAACTGCGTTCATGCCGTCATGGCGGATATAGGCGAAAAAGGTTTTAGTTTTAGTATATTGTCATTTAACAGCTTGATTTAAATTTTCTATTTTTAGGGAAAACTGTATCACTAAGTCGTTTACAGCAGACATTTTCAATATATTTGAAAAATGCTACGACCTCCTCATATAACTGGAAGACAAACACATCGACCTAATAATCTACAGCACAATCTGCTGAATAATATTACTACAGATCTATATATACATTCCTCTTTCGAACCATATGATGAATGACATACAAGACAGACTTTCTTCTGAAGTGTTAGATCGGTTTAAGTTAAATGTATTTTTGACAAAATTGACTTATGATGAAAATGGTCTAAATATTGTACGTATAAACTTTGGGTAACTAAGTGGCAAAGAGAATTGCAAAATGGGAATAAAGTTCCTTAAACGATACCCCAAATAATTGACGTATGTGACAGTGGTCTTTAATGTCAAAACTTTTATGCACATTCTTAAAAGTATTCTTAAAAGTATATAGTCGGTGAAGTGACAGCAGAAATATTTATCTAACATTACGTCGGCTCAAAACTTATCTTCAGTAAATAATAATAATAATTTTTACGATATCGTTATTAAAAACAATAATATTCTCAAACAACTGTCCAAACGTAGTTAAGGAACTGGATTCTATAAGGGGATACTGGCCATTTAATGTATCTCCTTACAGAATCCAGCCCCTCAATTAGTGTTATTAAAAGCGAATAAATTATATATGTCGTAGGCTCGCACAAGACAGGAGGTTACAGTGTGTTGGATTCCAACAGCAATTACTCAGTTCAACCATCTTTTGCTTAAAAATTAAAAAAATTACACAAGCCTGCAAAACAGAAAAGTTTTCGTTGTCTGAGTTCGAGAAGTTATTTCCCGTCGTTTTTGGTGCCCTGAATCCGAATCTGACAACGAAAAACTCCTATCACGTCAGGATTTTGAAAAAGTTGTGATAAAGATCCCAAAAATCACGTTTTTGGACTTGGTTACGAATCCTGACGTGATGAGAGGTTTTCGTAGGCAGATTCTGCTTCAGCGCATCAAAAACTACGGAAAGTAACTTCTCGATCTCAGACAACGGAAATTTGTATTCTTTTATAGGAATGCATTATAAATTTTTTAAAAAGTGCATTTTTCCTATGTACAGTCAGGTCTCGCAAAGTGTCGTTTTCAGTAAGTGTCGTTTATTTATTTGTCTCACAAAGTGTCGTCGTTCGAGACCCGACAAGTGTCACTGTCCCCACTTTTTTTTACCCTCTCCAATGCGAAAAATCGACTTTGCCAAAACATAAACCAATGAAATGATAACTTTTACTGAAGATGCGTGGCTTTGGCCAATGACACTTACTGAGACAGTCGGTCTCAAAAAATCCCCAGTGATGAAACTTAGCGTGACCTGACTATATTATCAATGGGAAATTACGATCGATCGTTTCTCGGGGATTTTTGGGGTCTCTGAATTCGAATTTGATGTTCGTTTTCAAAATTTTAAATGGCGAATCCAATATGTCGACCTAATTTTTTAAAAGTTTATGAATTTGACTAAAAGTATTTATACTTGAGAGTTTTTGAAATTTTTGAAAAAACACATAAAGAGATGGAGGCATTTACCGCTACGTCCCCGTTCGTGACTCTGTGTTTGGCAGAGAGCGGAATTGAAAGTGATGTGCTTTTAAATAACCTTCAAGTTACCTCAAATACCCCCGAGTAAACATTTTAAGAACAATTTGGTCGCCATATTGAATCCACAATTTAGCTTTTAGAAAAACAAACATCAAATTCTAATTCAGCGACCCTAGAAACCTCCAAAAACGAATTTTGATAGAATCGCCTTAACTTTGAAATTATCTGCCATATTGGATCCGACATTTTGAATTTTGAAAATCGAACATCGAATTTTAATTCAGAATAGAATACGATTATCTTACATAAAATAATGTTTCTTTATTTTATAAATCGGTGTATTTTTCTCATTCTAGATTATAAACATATCAGTTTCCTTCAACTCTTTTTTCTCCTCACTTTTATTAAACTTTTCAACAACTTATGACTTTCTAGTTTTCACCATGTGAAAGGGCGTCAAAAATTCTATATGAATGGTCAAAAAAGTGAAAAGTGATTTTTTGATACCAAAGCTTCCTTTTCCTACACTAGGTCACATGTATATACAACATATATATATATATATATCTACCTATATTACAAACAGATATCGCCGCCGCCGCCGCTGTTTCAAGATTCTGTAACGGCGCCCTATCCCAAAGGGGCCGTCAAAACTTATGTCAAAATTGACCTATTTTTTGACCTATAGGTCAAAAAGAGGATAAATAACGGCCTCACATTACGTTAAAATCTATGTTTAATTTGACATATTTTTTTACCTGTAGGTCAAAAAGAGGATAAATAAAGGCCTCAAATTACGTTAATATAGGTCAATTTTGAGGGCAGTTTTGACCTAGGCGTCAAAATTTGACAAAGAATTTCCGCTACCCTCAAAATTTAGGTCAATTTTGAGGGCAGTTTTGACCTAGACGTCAAAATTTGACAAACAATTTCCGCTACCCTCAAAATTAAGGTCAATTTTGAGGGCAGTTTTGAACTAGACGTTAAAGTTTGACAAACAATTTCCGCTACCCTCAAAATTTAGGTCAATTTTGAGGGCAGTTTTGACCTACACATCAAAATTTGACAAAGAATTCCCGCTACCCTCAAAATTTAGGTCAAGTTTGAGGGCAGCTTTGACATAGACGTCAAAATTTGTCAAACAATTTCCGCGCGCAGACTTAATGATGAGGTGAAGTTTGGCATCTTACCTAACAATGTAAGGTAATTTTAAAATTGTGTTTGCTCTTACACCTATCATTTTGACCTAATTTTGACGTTTTATTTTTACTCCCTCATTTAGTTACGTCATAATCTATGTGTAATTTGACTTTTATTTAACTACAACTTAAAAAGGGACAATAAAGGACAATAAACGTATCTATGATACGTCAAAATCTGTTTAAAATTTGACGCCTTTTTAACCTATAGGTTAAAATGGGTCAAAATATATGTCAAAGTTTAATCTAATTTTTGACATATATATAAAAAAGGTCCATAACGATTATTACATTACGTCAAAATCTATGTGTATTTTGTCATGTATTGTATGCAATTTATTAAGATGCATTGATATTAAGAAAAAATTACTTTAAATTTGTAAAAATTAAAATTAATATAAAAATAGAGATAGGGGGTTGGCGCACGAGGCGCGCAGGGGGGCGAAGCCCCCCTAGTATATATATATATATATATATATATATATATATATATATTAACTATTTATAGTAGTAATGTAATTTTAATTACATTACTATTATATGTAATATTATATACATATACATACATATATGTAATTTTAATTATGACAGTTATAATACAGCTTTGTCTCTTGAGTGCATTAATACCAAAACCTCATTTTTCATCAAAATGACATTATAGAAAATTTTGCCGTTACATTGTTAAAAAAATTAATTTTATTTCCGTTCATACAAAATAAATAGTTAAAGATTATGTTTCTTCTAATAATTTAGAAAAAAGATATGTATTTTTTACCAGTCAAGAAAATGAAATAATGATATGCAAATAAATGATTTAAATAAATTTATATTAAAGTGAAGAATAAAAAGAGAATAATGGACTCAATCATAAAAATAACTCTCTAAAAGCCGGAGCGTCACGACGATTCATAAACGACTCTCATTTTTGGAAATAATAACATTGAGTATTTATACTTTCAAATATATTACACACAACACCGGGATTTTCAAGACAGTTTAGGTAAAAGGTTAAGGATGGTGATGAGAATAAGTAATGACAATGATTATGACTAATAATATTAAAATTAATTTAAAATAAATAATCAGTATAGGGATCATTCACATATTACGTCATAAGCTTAGGTGGGAGGGAAGTCTACAGTTCTGTGACGGCCTGTGTAAAAATTACCAATTTCTATGTAAGAAAATGTGACGAAGGGGGAAGGATTACAAATTTTACAAATTTAAGTGATGTAATATGTGAATGATCCCATATCCAAATCATCATAATGTAGAACAATATATTAAATGGACACTCTGAATTCTGAGAAAATTGTGGTATTTCTGATGTACGATTATAGTCGTCAATTATACTTCACCTAAAGTCGTTGCGGACTATTTTTAG